GTAGAGGGGGTCAAATTGAGTGGAACTTGTTGCAATGGCCTATCTAGAGGTCCCTATAATAGAATATGTGAAGATCCCCGCGACCTCAACTTTGGTGAGACACTGCCTTTAAGTCTTTAACAACTTTGGTTCGCTCAAAAGTACAAAATAACACCTGGGCCCGTAGTAATCCGCCCGACATGATGGCATAAGACATGACGGCGACCTCGCGAAGCTCATGACAAGTTCATGTTTTGAGCGTGATGTTCGCGAGTTTCTATAGCCTTTCAATTTTACAGGCAATCACGTGCAATGGACATGCAGCAGTGACAGAAGATTTACAGCTACTAAACATCCTAAACATCACAGGATGCATAATCATTTCAATTTGGCCAACGTTTTCTCTACTTTCATTATAGAGCAAAGCAGTCTCCATAGCAGGCAATCCTAACAAACAATCAATAATTTGACCAGCTTTTAGGTTGATCAGAATTCATCAATACATTCAAGGAGTAAAATACAGTTATGTTCAGTATGAAGAAATTTTGTGAAAACAATTATGTAGATCATCTTTTGAAACTACGAAATTGATTTATGTGGAATCTTCCACGAATTCACAGCATAATTCCTTTCGTAAGTTAGGTGGAAACATTTGACATTGACTAGTTGCTCTCTACCTTATAATTACCTTATTTGTGAAATTCTCGCAATTGTAGCAAGCAAGGATGTGAATTGAACTTTGGTTTTTGTTTTTTCTGCCAGTTACATGCGATGATCACATATTCACAAAACTACGAAACAGGGACTTGAGAAAAATTCGAAAGTTCAAAAAGTTTTGAATTGGCAAAAGTGCTCAAATTACCTACCGAAACAATTTGTCCATGTAAGAAAAGGTTGAGAGAGAATAGTGGGCAAATCAAGATTGCTTTCAATTTTCAAGATAGTAGATGTTGGTTAGTCATGCTAATGTTGAATCCATTTTGCTTTTATTAGTCATACTTCCAGCTGTGGCTGACAAATGACACCTGCAGGCTATGTAATGAATAGAATCGCTGTACTTTGCAGGCGAGAACAGTGAAAATAAGTCTTTCCTAGACCTTCACTATTTGCTAGGCACATAATAGCTCTAAAAATTATATGTAAAATCAATGTCCTTCTGTATGTATTAACAGCGGCTCCGTTCTGACAAATACTATAAGCTTAATCCATATGGTAGATTTTGGGTTTCTCCATCAAAGACGCCGCTAGAAGCAATTGAAAATGGGAACACGTCGTTGATAAATTACTAGTACAAGAACCCTTTTCGCATCATTGCGTGTCCAATCCATGAGAAACATCTACTAATGATGCAGTGTAACATCGTTCGTGAAGCTGTCCGTAAAAATCATCTCAAAGCTCAACCGTTCACCATTCCTTTTCTGCGAAAGTTGAAACGGCCGTGTCTGATATGATAACGATTGATAAAAGATGATGCGAAGACCGCTCTTATGCGCAGATTTATATACCGTATTTGCTCGCGTCTACAGCCAGAGTGGTCCCACCGCGAATACAAAAGGCGCGATCTATACAGCCGCATGCAGCGCTCCCGGTCAAACTGTTCCGAGGCGCTGCTCGCATCTCTGAGCCGCGACAGGCGCGACAGAAAGGACTGCGTGGGTCATGAAATTGATAGTAGTCAAAACATTAATGACTTTCAAACAAACTAGGCTTTGTAGAAAATTTTTATTAGGAAGTATAATTTTACAAGTGCAAAACGCACCTTTCCCATATTTTCCGCGGAATGGTCGCTCTCCCACGTAATTTTTTTACCGTGAAATCTCGATAATTTTCGTAAGTCACAGACAAGGTAGAAGTCAGTCGTTTAAGCGCTTTTCGTTTGTCTGCCATGCCACCGCAACCAATGGTCTTGATTTTTCAAAACTCATTTAATATAATCTTTTCAAAGAGATAATTCTCAAGAACTAGTCCTTAAAATGTCAAAAACTTATAATTCAATTCATAAAGCTTGTAGTATAGAATTACTGATGTAGAAACGCCCCAGCATCGCTTTGAGAACAACTCGATTCGATTTCTCAGTTTTTGATCAGCGAAAAAGTTCAGCAGCCGCTACATGGATGTCTGATGTCGATAGTATAGATGTATGTGGGAGACGTAGGAACTTTTGAACGGAGAGTTTTTTTTTTCGAATATTTAGGCATTTGAGACTTTTTAGATCTTCTAGGCTGACTTGGATCAAACTTTGACGAATCACGAATGCCAGCTTGTAAAGCTTTGCTCTATAGAACAGTACACCTCATGCATTCTTGAGGTCCGCCTGTTGCAGCAGCAGAGCTGGCAAGTAGTAGCATTACTATTAAGGAGCCCCATAGTTTTTTACCGTCTCTATCCTAAACATCAGCATTTCTCGAAAACTTTGGCACCTTCAAAGTGTACAAATACATGGTCGTACTTCTGTATGTATGAGCCAAATGATCACGTGCGTGGGAGGGCTTAGAATAGAAACAGACTTGTGCCATTTTACTCCATTCATTTTTTCCTTTGTTTCTAATCATGGAAAAAATAATAGCCCGATTAAATCTGTGATGTGTCAAGCATACGCTAGGATAAATGGGGAGTTTTTAATGTTTTCTAGTGACGGAGATACGATTTTTGAAGGAAAACTTTGTTTTCGACTGCTAGATATCAAATTTCAGCTCAAAACTTTCGCTGAAGTACAATTTGATCAGATTCTTCATAGCTATCTTGTAGAGTTTTTTACTCTGAAGAAGCTCTTAAGCCACATCGTTTGAAGGGAAAATACAAAGAGACGACGTTTATAGTAAAAACTGTAAAAAATTAAGGGACACCCTAATTTATTTATTTATTTATTTATTTGATACGCACAAGGCGTGCCCAATACACAGAACGAAGCATCACACTGAACAAATATGGACAAAAAAAAGAACAAAAACAGGCAAACACCCCACTGAATCAGCTCAAGTCCAGCCCGCAAAATATTTTCTAGGGATAGAAAGGGAGTGAGCTTGTCTAGACTAATATGAAGGCATCACATGTATAGAGGTTCGATGGAGTCTGTCTCATGCCCCCTGCTTTTAGCAAAAATGCTCTTATTCAAACATAAGCAAATGTATAAGTGGAAGCAGGTGTATTGGTAGTAATATTGGTAAAACCCGCCCAACCAAACTCTGGGAAGAGAGCAGAACTCCGGAAGAGGTTGCCCAATGCAGAAGTTTCAAGCCCAAACAAGCTAACCCAAGCATCAATGGAAATGATGAGATGAGCCAGACCCAAACTAACGGGTGAGGTATAAAGTTGAAAAAAAAGCCAACACAACGAATGGCAATGGTGTAAACCAAGGTCCAATGATTTGGTGGAATCTGACCCCTAAAATCCAAGGCAAGACATTCATTTATTCGCATCCCTTCGATCATAGTCAGCCCAGAGTGAACACCAAACTGAGACAGGCGGAGTCGCGTGCCATGGAACCGTCAAACGAAAAGGACAGAGACATGCACAGCACAAAAGCAAGGATCTAGAAAAAGGAATTTGAGAGATGAAAAATAAAGTAGAAGCAAAAAGTGCAATTAAAATCAAGCCTCAGAACCAAGCGTAGGAGAACCATAACAACCATAAACCCTAAAATCCTGAACTCTAAAAAAAATCTGAACACAACATTGAAAACGCAACGCAATCAAAGAAAAGTATCACTGCTCAAAAGTTGGGTCAAATCAGCTTTTTTTAATTTTTTTAATATTTATCTAACAATTAATCTACTCGGAGTAATCGACTAAAGCAAAAATTTTGAATAAGTGCTGTTTATGCTCAAATGAAATACGTTTGAGGTTTCTTTGTAAGCCTCTACGTTTCGCTTTTTTCTACTCACTTTCAATCATCTCTTCATAAGTTTGCAGTTTTTTCGTGACTCTAACAAGGGAACGCTTGTCTGCAAGTTCAAGTTGAACATTCCCTGAGATCGGTACACTCAATCATGCTAGCCATGCACTCCCAAGTCGGCTTTTGAAGCACATTATGCACTAAAACCTCAATGAATTCACGTTTTCAACCCTTCAAATTTTTTACTAAGGAACGGCATCGCAGATTATAGGAGGTAGATTTGTAACCAGCTCGTGAAGACGCATCCAATCACATGCGGTTCAATCCCATTCGTCACCTTAAGTTGGGATCGTTTCCTTGTAGGACGTATAGTTCCCTAAGGTGAAAGCATCTTCTTTCTAACGCATCCTAATTCAAACTATCTACACTTTTCGACCTCGAGTTTCTTTTTTGGATCCTCCATGTTTTTATTCCAAAAAGGGTTTCAAAGTTTTAAAATGTGAACAATAATAAAAATCTCTCAGCTTATCACTATAGACCTTTAGTAATTTGCAACGATGAGAGACTGCTTTCATTTAACATCAGCCGCACTGATATTAATTATCGATTGTTTGCAATATTTGAGCTACGGGGCTGGAAGTAGACCCGACGGGGGGAAGGGGTATAATAGTCGTTTGTGAACATACCCATTGCATTTTGATTTTATCTTTATATTTTTGAAGACTTGAGGTACAGGGTGGGAATTGGCATAGAAGGGAAGGAAGAGCAAGTGAGCATGGAAACAGAGGGCAAGGAGCTGACATAAGGAAGTATGAAAGAGAGATGTGGTAAAAGTAAGACAGAACAGTTAGTTCCAACATGTTAAATCGAAAGGAACCAAGCGAATCCGGCTAGTTGCAAATAAAGCTGCCGTTATTATACGTTCTGAGTCCACGCATCTTTCTTTTTTTCATCATTTAGAATGTCGCAAACCTTTTTTCTCAGTTTTTATTATGAAATTTTACGCTAATATGCTGCGTTGATATTAGAATTTTAATCATGTACGATTCGTTCACACGAATGGATTGATAGTTGTAATTAACAATCAGTTTGCCTGCTGATGAAGTACATTCTGAATGTGGTATGTACTTCAATAATATAATATGGTATGGATGTGTAAGGAAAATAACAGAATCCATCTCGAAATACTAGAGTACTAGTTTGTAGGCTGGATGTTTGTATCTTTTTAGTTGCATTCTCTCACACTCTTTACAACCATACATTCTGCACACTTTGAGGTAGTCACTCGGTGAGGCGTCCTGTACATTCCCAATCACATTCTGAAATCTGCGTTGTAATTTTCGCACTAGAAAATAAAAGTTTTTTGTAGTAATTATTGTAATAGGCCGACATCCTTATACTCAAGCATTAAGAAACCAGTGTTCAGTCGCACGCTTAGTCTAAAAGCCATACTTGTACCCGTTGTTCAAGGTTTCCATAAAATAAATTTATCAAAAGATTTTGAGATGATAATGAGGCCAAACTCTTTATTGGCACACTTACAGACCGTCTTTCCATGTTTAGGAGCATGGCATTTGCTGGTAATGAAAAGCTTATAGCTCTCGTCAGGAAAGCCCTTCGCAGGTAGGTGTAGTGAATTTGGATTCAGCATCCCTGCCGATTCTTAATATGAATGTCTTTTCTCGAAAGGCCAGAAGTTAGACCCCCTCCTTTGTCGGACGGGAGCTTGCTAAATTTTGAAATTTTTAGTGGTTCTACCCCCCCCCCCTGCATTTTGCAACAACATCTTCGTTGTAAGCTGAGTCAGCATTTCTTAGTGCTATTTTTATTTAGCTGCTTCAAAGAACATTATCATGGCACCAACCTGATATCTAGGATCTCTTGTTCTCATGGTAATCCTATTCCCATTGGCGAACGCATGTTTGTCATAGTGCATGATGGATCGGTAGTCATATGGGACATCGTACGTGCTCGCCATTGAAGAATCTACTTTCCAGAATTGAAACGCAGCTCCTCAAAAATGGTGAATCTGAGTCTCAAATTATAAGAATGGAGCGCGAAGTCAAACACCTGACAATTGCGTAAGCTTTGTTATTTGTTCCAAATTTACTCAGAAAACTTCTGTCGATATTACTGTGAGTCCATGCTGTGTCAACGATAAATTTCTTGTTGAAGTACTTTCATTAAGGCACTATCCCTACTATCATGTATTTATCATTCTCAGCCTTTTCATTGCCCTAATATCAGATCTAAAACACAAATTAAGTAAAAATCAAAAAAAATCAGCGTTCTGGAAACCCCGTTTCAAGAGAAGACGAGTAATTCGGCGCTAGTGAAGCGAGGTGCTACAGTCAATGTCAATTACGTACTCCCTTTCGCACGGGAACTACGCATGCGCAACGCAAGGGCACTGCGTACGGACCTCCAATCGATGACGCCATTATGAATGCGCGAGCCATACGCGCGCGAACGTAGCGCGGAGCTCATTGCGCTTACGGAAAAGGGAGCATGTGATTGACACGGACTGTAGGTGGAAACATGCAAACAGATATACAGTTTGCAGTTGACATGTGAAAGAATTAGAAATGGGCTAGGGAAGCCCTCCGAGATTGAATTTGAGGCTTTTGAAGTAATATTTAGGCGGATCTGAACTTTAGCCAAGGAAGTACCTGAGCTGCATAAAAGCTAAGACAAGCCGTTGCTTAGACGCTGCTTTCGAAGCAAACTAGGACGCAAAAGCAGTGATTTCCTTTGACAAAACTGCTCAAGCAACCGCAGTGGCAGAAAATTGAATAATTCACAAAAACACCTTTTACAATGTTCCTCTTGACGATTTTGACATATTTGTCACGATCGTAACGTTGATGTTCATGCCAAAGTCCAACAACATGCAGCAGTTCATGAAGGATGGTTCGGTCTTTCATGCATCTAAATGTACAAATTACAAATCCTTGCGTTAAAGATCAATTACGAGTTGTTTGTAAAAATACAAAATTTTTAGTATCTCAAATCTAAGGGACATTAAGAGGAAAGTAAATTGGTCCACTGATTAGTTTAACGCATTCTTTTGTAGAAGTCTCATTCGGCAACAAACAATTGTTTTCGGCAACAAATATTCTTAAGGGTCATACCCATTTGATTCTAAAAACAGCGTTCTCGCCACCAGGACGTCCAACTGACGTAAAGCATCTGGAATGCCATAAAATTTTTGTCTAAACTCTTACGGACATTTAGCTCCTACCCTGCATCAGCCTTATTTATAATGCTAAGGTAGTCTTTTTGACCTTTTCGTTTTCTCCACTGGAATCGAATAGATGTATTCGCTTTTATGCGATTCATTGCCTTCCGAATTTTCTTCCTCTGCCATTCACCTAAGAAGGCTGCTTCCAGTTATCGTGAATTTTCACCAGTTAATGAGTTAAGACAAGATTAAGCACTTACGATATGGTCCTTTGATGATAAACGGAATTATAACATGCCCCTCATTATCCCGATATTTCCACTTGTCAATTGGGTCAATCACAGCATTGTGCAGTTTGCGAATATAAAAGGAGCCATTCTCTGAGAGGCTAAATGGTGTAAGTTTACGTCGTCTCTTCCGTTAAAATGTAAACGTTATTCGCCTCGATCGGACAATTTCTCCGACTGCAAAGTCACTGTATCTTGCCGCTTCTCTCAACTGAGTGATGTCTCCTCCTTTTTCTTCGGAAATGTTGACTGTTGTGGCCTGGAAAAACAGTGCCCAGAACACCCGAATGTAAATTCTTCACATCAAAACAAATACTGACTAGAATGGCCACAATCCGAATTTTTTTGATCGTAAAATTCCATCTAGACAGTGCAAAGATAAATGCTCACATTTGATGAGACCTTCTGCACTAGACGCATAAGCAGGCTTGCGCGCAAAATCACGAGTAATGCCATCATCAATTGCAAACTTGATTTCTTGGAACTCTGCTTGCGATATAAGTCACAATATTATGTGATCTTCCAAAGGCGCTGTAATGACTTCTACATCTTTAAAACATAAGCTACGCATCTAATAACCCTAAGTTTTTCGCTATCTTGAATCTCTAAAAAGGAAGGGATACTAGGTGACCGTGGCCATTTGGAATGCGATGTATACCGTAAAATGCATCTCAAGGCTGATTCTAAATCTGTGCTCGATATCTGCGAAACGATCTTTTGAAGGAAATTATGAACTGTTTCGTTGAAAATTTCCGTACTTTTGGGTAGTCAAAATCATTGAATTGTTCTAAGATACCGTTTGAAGCTACTGAAAAAATCTCAAAAGGAGCACTGCTGTATTTATATTTATCTAGATCATACTCAGCATCTGAAATGGAAGGAGAATTTTTTATTGATGATTTTGACTTCCGTAGTAGAGCAATTGCACGAAAAATAATCGTAATCCATCCAGGTTATCGTTTCGCAGATATGGAAAACAGTATTCCAACCACCATTAAAAGGCGCATTTCTTGCTATACAAATTATCATATGCAAATTATCGCGAATGGCCATGGTCGCCAAGTATCCTCCCTTTAAGATTGTGCAAAAGATAAAAAGAGAAATTGTCTAAGCCATGACAATAATTTCATTGAGTTATTGACTAAGTTTTGCAACTCTTTTATAAAGATTCTCGCTTTGAATATGACACACTCAAATTTGTCTTCATGTAGGTCATGGCAATACAGAAGCAACAATTTCTGCCAAATTCTGATCTCGCAGAGGGTTAAGTAGGTGTATGGTATCAAGGGATAGAAGAAATAGATAACTACAGGTTTGGAAATTTGGAGAGCTGGGGGGGGGGGGAGGTTCAACGTGATGATTACGAGAGCGATACTAAATTTGCCTGGTAGGTCTTTGTTGTAAGATTACGGCAGGTTTACTGTATAAACTCTTAGCCTAAACCATACCTTCGATAGTCTAGAGACAGGGCGTCAAAAGTGAAGGTTGTTTGAACATCTGACGTCATAAATAGCGAAGGTTGTTTAAAGAAAATCAGAGAAGAGAAAATGACTTAAAACAGATACAAAAAGCAAAAGAAACTGCTGAAAAACCGGATAAAAACGCTGCGAAGAGGTTTGAAATCTTCCATTTGGCGGCTTTTCGAAGTGCAAGTTTTCGCTCCAGGACAAGCAATTCGCAACACGGGGTTTCGATTTTTGATGCGTCCTCTAAATTTTTACCCCCGCAGTGACGTTTCTGTTTCCTAGGACGTTGTCTGAATTGTTGCGCTTATTGTTCTGAGCAATATTCGCCCAAGCTGGAAAAAAATCGCTGCGAAAGCACTGAAACTGAACAAGTTAAAGAAAAACGCACTTTTTACGATTTTCGCAAAAAATTCCACCATAATCGAAGAGGTAAGGGTGGGTGGTTGTCTGCATTATGAACAGAAGCAAGATCTATAGAATGCGTGAAAAAACCGCGTGAAAATTGCTAAACTAGGAGAAAAACAAGAGATTTTCGAAACAAGGTTTTTACCGGACTTCTCTACCAAATCAAAAAATGTGATTCTGGGACGTCGTCAGCGTGAAAATAGAGATCAATAGTTTCAAAATGATATATAGCTTGCTGAAATTGGGTTCGAAACAGCGAAGAAAAGGGTAGCAGAGCCAAATGCCCCACGCCCCGCGTTTGGGGTAGCGAGGTAGCGCGCAGCGCGCGGAGACGCAGACGAGCGGCGGAGACAGACCAGAGCCGAAGGGGCATTTGGCTCTGGTCGTAGATCTCCGCGGGGTCTCACGAAGCCCTGCAACATTATATATCATTCTGATCGTCATGACACGACGAGGAGAACTGACAACGTCCCAAGCTTTGAAAATCTCTCATTAACGAGATAGACCAGCGTTTTCGTGCGCGACTCTCTGCGCAAGACTTAAGCGCAGTTTCTCGTTTTTATTTAACTCCAATAGCTTTCCTAAACTTGTGTAACTCGATTTTGTTCAAATGAGAGGATAACTAAGAAATTTTGCCTTGAATTCTGGCGTAAATTCAACAGAAACTTCTTTTTGAAGTAATAAAGGCTATGAAAACGCAAATACTCGGTTTCGCTGAGTTAAGCTAAAGATATCTCCTACATTTGCTTCATTAACATTCCTTCCGCTATAGTCAGGATAATAACATCCGCAGCGAAGCACCGGAGACTTCTGTTTTTTCCAGGTGAAGGTTGTGTCCCCCCATAGCCCTCGAAGTGAAAATTACCATAGTACGTGGCTCTATGTATCGAGGGTATGGCCGCTGATTCTGAGATTTTTCGGCCCCTTAGTTATTGATAAACGTCTCCCACGCCTTGGGTACAACGACTCGTTCGACTTCGGGAAGGCATCAGATCTCAACATCATTTCGAATTTCGTTTCTTTCTTACTGACTCAGACGAGGCAACTTCTGGCAGTTTTTTGAACACGAATAAGAAAATTTTTAGGCACTTTTTGCAAATTACTGAAATTCGAGAATTGTTGGGGTTTTGAGCCAAAGTGAAGCCTTCAGTAGCCTAGACATGCGCAATGATCCGCAATCGTGTACGAATGATTGCTAGAGGTTGACTCATTCGGCTCAACAAGATAAAAATAAAATTTTGTAGCATGTCGAGTGTAATCAGAAATTCGAACGACCCTGTTGCACCCAAGGATGATGGGACAACCATCAATGACTTAGAAGTCAGGACTTCAAAATTCCCTAGACTTCACATAGAAGGTTACTTGTTGCCAAATACGAAAATCATGTTCATTTGACAAACTAACTCCTCTTTTTTGTTTAAGGTGAGACCCTATACATCGTAAACCTACAGTAATCCTACAAAAAAGCCCTTAACAGCAACTTCATTATCGTTCCGTGGTCAGCATGTCAGACAACCCCTCTATGCCAAGTTTCAGCCAAATCTGTCATAATTTCTCTAATACCATAAACCTATTGTAACCCTCACCGCGACGTCAGAATTTGGCTGAACAACAGCTGCTCTTGTGCTTGCGTCATAACCTATACAATGGCATAATTTGATTATGCCATGTCGAGAGAAAGTTAAGTTACTGAATGAGTTGCAAAACTTAGTTTCCAACCTAATATTTTCATGCCTACTATCTCGTTGACATGATTTCGCTTTGCTCCAAAAAGCATTTCAGTTAGAATAATCTCGAGCGCGACCCTACAATTGCTAGAAATAAATAGAGACTGATGCATGTACGTGCAGGTTGGAATATTTTGCATACATGTACGGTTTTTTGTACTCTATTTTAAACCACTGCCATCAAGGTGATTTGGATTCGCTTCCGCAAACAAAATTCTTTCATGCAATCATATGATAGCACGAAGATCAGCGTAAATAGTTTTCCACTTTCAAGCACCAAGCATTATGGCAGATTGCCAAGCACCGTGATACATTCCAAATACTCCACAATAAAGACAACATAAATGAGCGATTTTGAAACGAACCATGGCGTCAAAGTGGAGGAATGGGAAAGGTCCTTGAAAAACTTCAACAGAAGGTTTTGTGTGACAAAGCTTGGCCTTGTAGCATTTGCCCCCGCCTTTACCGCCCTCTGCTTTTCTTTTTTGCTGAAAAAGTTTTCGAAAGAAGTCATGAGCGTTTGAATGTCCAAATTACCAAGGTTTAGGTGGCCTAAAATTGGCGAAAAGCTATACGAAAACGACGGAAAGTGGAAAATCACTTTTTATCGAGTATATTGTTTGCAAGTAAGGAATAAAACCGGTGGATATCGCATAGGTATTGTTTTAAAGCTTTTCGATGATTTTGAGCCACTCAGTGCTTGTCAAATCTAGACATTTAAACGCTCATAACTTCTTTCGGAAACCTATTCCGCAAAAAAAAACAGATTTGGAATCAGCGTTCAAAAACGCGTTCAATGATATACATCCCATCTTCAATCGCCGACTAATGTTGGTATCCTTTCCTTATAAGCTATCTGTTACCCTTGATCGCTCCTCCAAAAATTGGGAAATTGCAATCTTATCTTTCAATATATGGTGAACAGCGCTGTGCTGCCCCACGCGACAACATGCAGTGACTTACATAAGTGTGGAACAAGCAATAAGTCATTCCCAAAAATTGGTTGAGAAGTGATAAATGTTTTTTTGTACTCAGCATGCCCGCATATCCTCTCTGCTGTTTCTTAGCTTTCTTTCCACTACACGAAAGCCAAAAATCAAAAAATCGATAACGCCAATCAATGTTATCTGGTGAAAAACCTTGATGACTGCGCCCCACATGGAAACTTATAAAATACTTGGTACAAAACCTTGTTTCCTTTTGTTATTCAGTGTTTATTAATGACGCAAAATGCAGAAAGTCAATAAATCAATAAAGCCAATATCAATTAGTCAAATGCTTGTCATTTAACTTTATACTATCCACCAAAACAATTATTCCGCATTCGGATGAAACAAATGCTTGTTCAAAAGTTGATTATTCGAAATTCTTAAATGTCAATTATTGTCAATTATGGCCTGTGTAATTTTCGAAAATCTTAGTTTTCGAATTTTGGAGAGCCGACTACATAGAAGAAATTTTTAATTCCTTACATAGCACACGCCCACTGCTTCCTTCCACGCCTAATCTTTCTTAGTGTTCACCGCGTGTAGCTTTCGTTAGGTATTTGTAACGCCTGGTTGGATAGATCTCTGCAGGCTGCGCTGCAAAAATTTAAGTAGTATATCTAAATATCACAAATTTTGAAAGATAAAATGCTTGCCACGTGAGACCAACCTTGATACTCCACTTGACAGGAGCAGGAGAGAAGCACTAGCTCTGGCCTATGTATCGCATTCCATTGCAGAGTGATGTACAATTTGATGAATTTAACCACAATGCCCTGTCGTGTTCTATCACCATGTTCTTCTCTTAAAATTCGCCATGTTTTTATTATTTCAGTCCTATTTACATTTCCTGGATTCTGTCGGTGGTTGGCGATGCTGCTGCTGTACTCGCAGATGGCAAAACAAGTCCTTTCTGGGGAAAACATACAAAGGCAAAAACAGTGCAAATTACAGGGTGCTGAAAAAGTAGTGTCCCTCAAAATAAAGGTTGAAAAATCGGCGTAATTCACAGGTTTTTCTGGTAAATTTGACACGATTACCAAGATGTAAATATATTCTAGCATTTTACAAAAACTGACTTCAAAATTCTGAAAATTCACCCGGCGGCGGATCCCTTTTTGCAGCGCATCTCATATCAAATTGTGCAGCCCCTTTACAAATGTGAAGAAGTGTGAGATTTTTGGAAAATCTTTTTGTTTGTCACGCGAACTTGAGAGATTCTCTACTGCTTAAAGGCAGCGTCCAGGCAGATCCGAGCTCGACGACCACGCCCACTTCCCTCGGACGGCCAACCCCTTATGAACGAGATCTCCTCAGCCTTGACGTGTTTTCACATGACCAACACAGTCGAACTTACAGCGTTTACCTGTTAATACTTGCTTTCGACAAGGATAACATCACAAGCACTCGTCCGGGTTTTCCCAAAATAGCCCCAAAAGGTGGTTTTCTGAGAAATTCACGCTTTTTGAGTTCCATATTCGGAATCAGCGCCATGGAAAGGCCTGGATAACATAAAAATGTAGAAGTCGAGAATCTGCCTGGAGGCTGCCTTTAAGGAATGTGATAGTGGATGCCGAAATGTTCTGAAAGTATCCAGTCAACTGTTGCACTGGGAGAAAAGCTGTGAATTTTTCTAATGAGTAAGTGGCTGCGGAGTAACAGAGTGCGTTCAGAAAACGTGGCAGAGATAATAGGTATAATCTATAATTGTTTATCCCTCCAGAATCGTGATGTAGACGAAGTGCAATGCTTATTTCATTAATCCTGTTGCTTTTTGTTGGAATCTGGAATTTCGAACATAGTTTAAATCCAATTCATTAAGCAAGCGTAGTCCTGACTCGCCTCTTTTTCGAGTTTGCGATTTGCGTGTGACATAATTTTCCTTACTTGGCCAAAACAAGAGTCACCATTCTATAATTCATCTATACTGGGTATAGAATATCGGAGAAGAGGTCATGCACTACATACCAGCTTAATTTGAACTTATATCAACGCTGGTGGTATAGTTACGGTCCAAAATCGCGCTTGTATGCTACCGGCGCATCGTTATGCTCGCGCGTTGTTATCACTCGTTCAAACGGACCGAAGGGAACAGTTCTGAATCGAACTTATGTTTATCAATTCTCGAGGATCTCGCCTACGTATGGGAATCAAAAAACTAAAGATTCGCTTTATGTTTGGGGTATTACAAGTGCCAAGCTGGAGGAACAGTACTTTTTCTGCACTCTATAGTATAGTCGATCACGACGTGTGTTAACTCAAGCAATGAAGCTCTAAACTTTTTCATTCATATAGAAAAATGTATTAACTGATTGAATGATGCAACTGATTCGACAAAGTCTTAGTCCATAGTCACAGAACACGATGCTGACATGTGATTTTCGCCTTTTGCCAAAAGAAGCTTTCCATTTATTCGATTCCAGCTGGTACGATAACAGGTGAGTAGATAGACTTTAGTCTGAAATCTCATTACATGAAGAAGTTTTCAAAGTGAGTCCATCATCATCCATGAGATTTTTATGAAAACCTTGGATAAAAAAATCGTTCGCGTATCTCGCTGAAAAGAATGGGTATTTTTCAAGAAATTTTTCAGCTTTTGTCTTTACTTACCCGTCAGTGATAAAGGCTAGGATAGGAGACACACAGTACCTTAGCAGAGTGATAAGATTAGCGACATGTCCATAAAGATTTTCGGGCCGTGGATGATGCCACAAGTACACTACTATAGCACTAATGGCAAACATGGTTCCAAAGTAGATTGTTTGAGGCAATTCAGTTTTGAACAAACTGAGGGATGTGCGCTGAAAGGTTGCTTTCCGTTCAGTGCTGTCCCATCCAAAACACATCGCTTACCTTCACGAACAAAAAAAGAAACATTAAGATGTAGCAGAGAAGACTTACATAGATAACAGCTTCAGATAGATAATAATCCAAATTGACTAATATAATAGATAAAGAGCTGTTATCTAGAAATAGATATGTAATATCTGAGTGGATGAAAAAGCCAAACTAACCACTGACAAAGAAAAATCCTGGGGGTGAAACTTGCCATATGACACGATAGTGAGGTGTTATACAAAAAGATCCATAGAATACACCGAATAGCCAACAGCACAAAATTATAAGCTTAAAAGCCGTGTCAGCAGGATTTCTTTTCCCATTTTTTTTACCACTTCGGAGCCTTCCTCCCCGTGGGGAACCTATATCTGGGCTTTCCAATGCATGAAAATTCCAAAAATGACATTCAGTGGAAAATACGTGTAATGGAAGAGACCGAAATGAGGGAGGCTGGTTTTGCATGCGGACTTAAATACGAGTCTATAGTTTTGAATACGAGTTTTATGTGTTCTAAGGTAAACTTACCCTCAAGGCAATGGCGGTCCAGGGATTTCAATGGGGAGAAGGGGGGGGGGAGGAAAGAGGAAGGAGAAGCGTCAAAATTTTATTGGGATGAAGGTTCGAAATTCTTCTTGAGATTTTTGAGAGGCTTAAGAGGCTTTTCAGTCATTCGTTCATTTTTATAATGTAAAGTAACTTCCAAAAACTTCGCGACACATTCTAGGGAAAGGGGGGAAGAAGAGTGCTAGACCCCCTCTCCTTCAACCCCACTGCCTCAAGGATAGGGTTCACCCTCAGGGTTCGCTGATGTATACGGCAATTGGTCAACTGAGTGGACTTATTGAGACCAAGCTAAGCTTCAAAAAAAACTTAAAATAAGAGTCCAAACTAACGTAGGCTACTCTCGTAGTCCATACTCGTTGGTACCATGTGGATGAGACCAAAGAAAAAAGTCGATTGCTAGCGAGCACAAGAATTGTAGGACATTCGGCTGCCCATCCGCATTGATATAAAGCGCCAAACAACTGAAACGTTGGTTTGAGGATTCATTAGACGGAATAATTTGTGTGACTGTCATATGGAGGCACTCCGAGGCCTGCTTCATAGAAACACGTGAAGAAACATTTTGTAAAATCAAAAATTTTATACTTTCAATGTAAACCGTGTATAAATAGAGCAGAAAGCTTGAAAATATTTTTCTAAGATTTTTGAACACGTGTTCTTTGTTAGAATGTTGACGATTGCAAGGATGCCGCACGCTGACAAATGCTCAGATAAACTTGTGTAGCTGGTCTATGTCGTACTCCATATTAAACAAACTACTGATTTATCACTGTCCAGTTATAACTTTGTTCGGTCTTTAGTTCATAACTCGGAAAAATGCTATTTCATTTACAAAAATGGAAACATTATTTTGATGGGAACGGACTTTCAACCACAAAATGGGTGTTTGTGCTAGGACCGCTTATGACTACGGCAGACGGTACCGATGACCTTTTAGCCTTGCCCACATGCTGTGAGTTAGAGATATTTTTGAAGGATTTCTGAGAATTAAAAAAAACTTTATAGAAATTATCTGCCAATCTAGTGCTTAGTTTCTACAGAATTCAAGACACTATGCAAATAAGTTTTGATGAGCAATTTCCAACAAGTAAATTCAGAAGCCGTTCTTGAGAGAATCTAAAATTTGTGAATGAAAAATTAGAGAGAAATGTGACAAAAGTCTTGAGCACATGTTTTCTGATGGAAGAGAGAAGGCCGAAGTTTCTGATCCCACCTCCATTTATTTTATGTACTACTCATAGCAAAGTAGTTTTATCTACATAAAGTGTGTTCCCAATATGTGCATCGCGCATTTGATCGCTAATAACTCTCTTGTGCGGACAGTTTTCGCAGATTTCGTAGCGTAGTGTGGAGCTGGCTTCAGCTTAGAATCACTAAAGAAAAAAGTCACCTTAAGCTACTTTTTGAGTCAATCGGTTTCTTATCACTTCATTGATAACGTCTTGAAATAGAAATAAATTTCTATTAACGCTAACAAGTTCTATCGCTTCTTTTATAGATTCGTGTAATCAACAGCAGTAGAGCGCATTTAAATCTCGTGGTGTGAAATTCACCCTGTGTAGCCGCATCGGCTACACAGAGTGAATTTTTCTGAGGCGTGCCCATGCATAGTGGGACCCCTTACATCAGATGGAGCAGAGCACGAGACTCCGCACCAAAAATTGTGGAGTTACGCTCATCCTTGGAATGCTTAGCTACTACATTTGTTGCAGAAAAGCGTCAACCACGCGCACCACGAGACGTTTTGCTGAAGAAGAACGTCGTTTCCAAGTGTGCAGTAAAGTGCGAGAAAACATCCAATCGTGCCAAGGAAGTTCTTGCTTCTAACCTGCTCCTAAAACACTTCGATCCGGGTTTGGCAAAACTGATTGCTAAGCTTCTCACGAAACTGAAGCAATAATACTGCACAGAATGTCAAACGGAACAAAAAAAAGCAAATTGTCAACTAGCCTACCGTTGCCGACACAGACTACGAACAGATTGAAAAGAAAAGGCTGATGATGCAGTTCGCAAGTTCCATCACTTCATTTATGGATATCGATTTAGGCTACGGACGGATCAGAGTATCGGTACCAACATGCAGATCTAATTTTTAACTCGTTTCTGGCTGCCCACGCTCTAGCACACCGCCGTCGCCCTGCTCCATCTGATGTGAGGGGTCCGCTATGCATGGGCACACCTCAAAAATTTCAATCTGTATAGCCGTATCCTTTATCCTTTACACCACGAGATTGAAATGCGCTCTACTGCTGTTGATTACACGAATCTATAAAAAAGCGATAGAACTTGTTAGCGTTAATAGAAATTTATTTCTATTTCAAAGCGTTATCAATGAAGTGATAAGAAACCGATTGACTCAAAAAGTAGCCTAAGGTGACTTTTTTTCTTTAGTGATTCTAAGCTGAAGCCAGCTCCACACTACGCTACGAAAATCTGCGAAAACTGTCCGCACAAGAGAGTTACTAGCAACAGAATGGGCGATGCACACATCAGGACACACTTTATATAGATAGAACTACTTTGCTATGAGAAGTATATAAAATAAATGGAGTTGGAATCGAAAACTTCGGCAGATATTCGTTCTTCCATCAGAAAACATGTGCTCAAGACTTTTGTCACATTTCTCTCCAACTTTTCATTTACAAATATTAGGTTCTCTCAAGAACGGCTTCAAAGACTTATTTGCATAGTGTCTTGAATTCTATAGAAACTAAGTACTAGATTGGCGGATAATTTCTGTAAAGTTTTTTGAAAGAAAAAACTCAGAAATCCTTTTTTTTCTTAGAAAAACTTTTTCCTCAGAAATCCTTTGAAAATATCTCTAACCCACGACATGTGGGCAAGGTAGAAGGTCTATCATAGGTACCATCTACCGTAGTCATAAGCGGTCCTAGCACAAACAGCCACTTTGTAGTTGAAAGTCCGTTCCCACCAAAAGTTTGTTCCCATTTCCGTAAGTGAGATGGCATCCTTGAGTGATGACTAAAGACCGAACAAAGTTATAATTGGACAATGATACAATCGGTATTTTGTTAAATATGGAGATGTAATAGACAAGCTACACAAGTTTATCTGAGCACTGGTAAAAGATACGCGACGGAGAAGTCGATATATGGGAAAAGGAAGTGTTATGTCGAAGGAACGGATTTACTAGGATACTGTCGTGTGGTGATTCATAATGAAAAGCTAGGGTAGAAGTACGGTAATTTAAAGAATCAATAAGCAGAAGTCTTCAAAACTGGACTTGAAAATTGCTCAGAAACTATTGCGATATTGTACCTGGAGGACAATGCAGTTACTGTATCCGCTAAGAAACGACCAGTTTCGTTTGCGTCTACGAAGGAACTGGAGCAGAAGTCGACCGGCTGGTGGCCGCTGAAGTGAATCCTGCAATGGAATATTCTAGGAAGCACAAATAGTGTTAATCAAAAAGAAATACGAAAAAATCCGCTTATAATAACCCACAGATGGTGCTAGCATCTAATGGGTTACTTATAAATGGATTTTTCCGTATTTCTTTTTGATTAACACTATTGGTGCTTCCTAGAATGTTCCATTGCAGAAGTCACTCCAACGGCCACCGCCTGTCGACTTCTGTTTCCAGTTCCTTCATAGACGCGAAACTGCTCGTTTCTTAGCGGATATAGGAACTGCATTGCCCTCCAGGTACAAAATCGCATTAGTTTTTGAGCAATTTTCAAGTCCGGTTTTGAAGACTTCTGCCTACTGATTCTTCAAGTTGCCGTACTTCTGCCCTAGCTTTTCATTATGGATCACCACACGACAGTATCCTAGTAAATCCGTTCCTTCGACATAACAAATCCCTTTTTCCATAAATCGACTTCTCTGTCGCGTATCTTTTACCGAGAATTAAGCAGAAAAATTCCCGTCAATCAACGGTTCCCCGTCGGCAGTTTTCAGTGGCGTAATGCGTGGTTCCAGGATTCGGGACCCATCTGCTTCCACGTTCGACATGATGACAACGTATATCCGTTGGTATCAGTTGCGTATGGAACACCCCTTAGGCGACGTCAACATGGGTACGCGCGTTTTCGACGTCATACGCAATAATCTTGCACCCCTCCTCTAATGACCATGACTTTGAGTCACTGCATCCTTTATCTTCAGTATTGCAAAAAGGAGTTTTCGCTTCTTTTCTGTTGTCAGCAGCAATTGAAGCATTTCTTCTTCCTCCCAACTTGAATATCTTACTTCCTTTCTGTGCTGTACATCCTCAATGCGGTGTAATTCCCACATTCGCTAACAAGATTTTCAAGTGTCAGCGGCACGTCCTCCGTGTGAGTGTCGCCTGCGAATCATACTTAAAAGGACTTCCCTGAGCGAAGGATCTTGAAGACCTTATGAACTGTAGCGTCGTCAACCGCGATTGGTCCGCCTTTTTGATCCGCATGATTGTATCAGCGCAATCCCGAAAAACTACGTCGGCCGACATCAGCGCTGTATAAGTAATTCGGAGGCACTTATATCTTCGGCGTAAATGTCTTCTTCGATGCGAATGCTTTTGCAATCTTTCTGAATCAACCTGTGAGTTTCATGGATCAAGAAACGCTTTATATTTGCCTTGTAAAACAGCATCTCTTATATTATACCGCACCCGTCTAGCAGCATACGAACGTGTTTTCAGGGTCCTCATCGAAAACGAACCTCTAAACTTCCTTACCGAGTTGATCGTGATCATTGCCTGCGCAACATTCTCCTAGGCGGAATATTCTGGTCTCTTGCAAGGTTGGCGAACAGCGTCACCATCTCTTATTGAAGGCGCAGCTGTTCGGCCATTCCATGGTCTTCTACAGCGGCACGTCTTGGCCATGCTTTTCTTCTGAAGTCGACTCGCGAAATCGCCTATATCGCTGTAGGATGAATGCATGCGAGGTGCCTGCAACGCGGCTGCTGAGTAGGGGCGCTATGATAACTCATGGTCGCGACTGCCAATGTTATCCCGCAGGAGACACGCTCGCGGGCTTTCAGCCTAGGCGATTCCATGCAGTCAGCTATATCACTCTGGACATAGTTGATTTCTTGACCAAAGTTCTTCACTCTTTGTAGATCGATGATGGAATTGGTAACTTATCTGAAAAAGCTGTGCGTCGTCTTTGACTCTAAAGGCTTCTTCCTTTTTTCATGTCAAGTCAAGGTGAAAACAGCAATCAAAGCTTCACTATGCATCAAATACCGCTATGGCCTATTTGTGGAAAATAGGTGGAAACAACTCACATCATTCCATTTATCATCCATTTCTCCATTCAACGTACAAGCAGCGCCGAGGACTCGCATAGATAAACTCATTAAACAAGCCAAGGATATGTGCTGGATGACGCGATATGTAGGCAAGTCCGAAAGCGAGTCGGTAGTGCATATGACCTGAGGTGCTCTCTTAATTTCTCAAAATTCACTGTGCACGCTTACCACTACTAGTCTTATGTGTAAGAGCATGAACACACATCCAAGAACAATTTGCGCAATGAAGAATGGCTTCTGAAGTGGTGTTGGCTTGGTTAAGTTCATCTCGGCTAAGTATTCTTGAAGGGTCATGTTGATCAACAGAATCCAAGATTGACTATGGATGAATTGTGACATCGTTGATATGCTTCTCCTTTTTGACTGCAGCGCGTGATCAAGAGTGGTGGAGAACTATAGAACTATTGAGATAGAATGTAGTCGGTGGTCGACTTCTTAAGTCTGAAAACGCGAGCCATATCAGCATAGCTGACCAAACGCATTGTTCGTCACAGAAAAACTTTAAGTCTTCGGCAAAGCAACGCCTGCAAAAGAACGATGTTGGGCTCAGTAGGTTTGCAGACCATTCATGCTACAAACTGTACGTTTTTGCGTTTACATTCCGTAATTAGCTATCAGCGCGATCCTTTTAATCCTGATTCAACTACAAAGGATGTAGTGTGGTGACTTCAAGGCTAGTCAAACATCCTTCCAATTTTCGTCAAAGTTTGGGCGCCTATCTAAAATGCTTGAATTGCGCTTGTAACAAGATCAGAGTTACACCAAATCCTATGCATGGCGGCGCTACTAGCACTGCACTCTCTTCGTCCCATACCTTCGATAGTCAAGAGACAAGGGCTAAAAAGTGATAGTTGTATGAGTTCTTGCCCCCTGTAAAAAGTGAAGGTTGTTTCAGAAAAATAGACGAAAATTTAGAGATACAAATTAAATTAGAAAAGCTAGAAAATTCATATAAAGCAGAGGTTAGCACATCACCAAATCTGAAACCTTAACTTGGTGGTTTCCTACACAGAGTTTCGTCTCCAGGATTGCCGGTAAAATTGGGTGGCAACAACAACAAAGTTCTTTTCCAGTCAAAAAAAGCGCTGTTTAGCTGTGGCGTTAGTTGGGAGACCGAAAGAAGAAGAACTTGTCAACAACTGAATTGAACATGTTAAACATGTCTGTAAAGTTGTGTTGTACATCGACGCCAATCTGATTTTTGATGGGTCCTTTAAATTTTCACCCCCGCATAGTCGTTTCGTACGCTGCGACGTTGTCTGGATTCTTCCGCTCATCATTCTAAGCAAGTATCGTCCAAGCTGGAAAAAATTCGCTGCAAAGGTACAGAAAGAGAACAAGGTAAAAAAACGCACTTTTTTGTATTTTTCACAAAAAAACCGGCATAAGCAAAGAAGTAAGCTCGGCGACGTTGTCTACATCATAGACAGAAACAAGACCTATCGAATGCACAAAAAAACCGAGTGAAAAAAGTTAAATTGAAGAAAAAACAAGAGGTTTTCGAAAACGCCGTTTTTCGAGAATTTCGCGTTTAAATCCCAAAAAGGAGTTCCGCGACGTTGTCAGCGTGAAAATAGAGATCAAGAGCTTTAATATGATATATAGATTATCGAAATTGGGCCCCGAACAACGAAGAAAAGGGTACCAGAGCCAAATGCCCCGCGCCCGCATTTGAGGTAGCGAGGTAGCGCGCAGCGCGCGGAGACGCAGACGAGCAGCGGAGACAGACCAGAGCCGACGGGGCATTTGGCTCTGGTCGTGGATCTTTGCAGGGTCTCAATGAAACCCTGAAAAATTATATATCGTTGTGATCCTCATGAGACGGCCAGGAGCACTGACAACGTCGCGGGTCTTGAAAATCACTCCATAACGAGATAGACCAGCATTCATATGGCGACTCTTTGCGCAAGATTTGAGCGCAATTTTTCGTTTTTATTGAACTCTAGCGGCTTTAATGAACTTCCAACATTCAACCGCAGTCCAGACGAAGGTTAATTGAGAAATTCTGCCCCTAGTTTTTGATAGAATTTTTAAATAAAAACCTTCTTCTCAACAAAAGGGCCATAAAAACGCAATCCTTAGGTTTTTTTGAGCTTCTTTGAATATCACTGCTATATTTGCCTCATTTAAATTCATCCCTATACGGTTATGTCATTAGTTATGTCATAATTACCGGGGCTTTGCCCCGGATGACTTCTGTACTTCTCCCCCGGTGAAGGTTGTGTTCTATCATGACGCTCAAAGTGAAGGTTACCAGAGTACATGGCTCTATGTATCGAAGGTATGCTTCGTCCTCATTCGCTCAAATCAATGGTGTTATTAATGCAAATGCTTTCTTGGAGCGAATGAAGTGGACGAAGGGGATAAGTATGATCTGCGACACAACGAACATCCCCGCAAAACTTCAACAATGTAATGATACTCGTTTTACACAAATCTAGGCTGCAGTATAAGCAATTTTTGGCTACAACACCTTTATGCGTTATATTAGCAGAAGCAGCTGCTATGCACTAGAAGATGCAAAATCTGTTGGTTTAAGTATCCGTAACGAAAAATTTACGTAAAGAAATAGCTCGCCTAAGCTGCAGGCAATTCGCGCTAGTTTAATGCCTATATTAACAAATAAGTTCTGGTAAACTAATCGTTAAACGAGGCAAATATGTAAAAGATGTTTTATCCGTTACAAAAGAAGGTATGCAGCTATGGTGGAGGCTTTGCGTGCTCACTACCAATTATTTGTTCCGTGACAGGCTTATATGCTGTTCTCTGCTGTAATGCAGAATCACGGCTTTTCACCTCAGCATTAGACTGGACATATAGCTGTCGCCGTATAGAAGGATAGTAGACTGACATAATGGTTTTTACTGCTTTAACTGCTGTACAACAAGTCCCGCGCTTTCAGGTCTGAAATTTAAGAACGAGAAATTAAAAGACTTAAATTGTATCCATTGCTCTTTAAGACCATCGGTAGATCGAAGAACGTCAAAACAACATCCACTCTATCCCGGCAGTGCGTGCTCATCAATTGTCATATTCGAGATGCGGAGATGGACGGAGATGTTCATCCTAGAAAATTCAAGTGAAAGTGTCGATAAGGGTAAACGAATCAACGTTGCCCATTCTTTTCCATAAAGGTGTGAGCTTTTGCATGAGATATCTGCTATATTTCACTCGTCAGTAATTTTACATTTTGTTGCAGTTACGTGCTCAACAACACATAGCGCTTATTCTTTACTATCTCGGAAATGTGCAGATAGTCATCGGATGGGCATCGCGGATCATCGCGCTGTTTGCTCTCGATTTTCTTTCTTCAATCAACGAAAACTTCCGAAGTTGTACTGATTATTCAAGTCAACAGTGCTATGCATGTTGCTGATAAGAACAAATGAGTTATTGAAGTATCAAAGTTTTTTATAAACCCCAACTTTTGACTTGTGGTTCATCGCAATTTCATGACTAATGCATTTATTCTTATCGGAAACAAGCTTAGCGCTTTGTGACTTTGATGTTGTAAGAGAGAGATTTTTAGAAAATTCTCTCTGGCACCAAATCAAAATCACAAAGTCAACTGAATGCCGAGGTTTAAAGAAGAGAGCACATGGAAGCTTAGCACTGTTCGATTAGACAATCTCTGAAAGTTTGGCACGATAGTGACTTGGAAGAAAAGACGGTCGACTTGTAAAACTTCTCGCTCCTATCCATTTGTAGTATAGTATGAGTGGTAGGGACGCTTTTTGTATGATCCCCTGGTGATCCCCTGCGGCCGACCGCCTTTTCTTCAAAGTCACTAAAAACGTGCCAAAATTTCTCTGAGTGTCTAACCGAACAGTGCTGAGTTTGTTCTGAGTTTGTTTCTGATAAGAACAAATGCACTGAAGTCAAATTTATGATGAACCACGAGTCCAAAGTTGGGGTTTATCTGAAATTTCGATGCTTCAATATCTCATTTATTCCTATCAGCGACATGCTTAGCACTGCTGGGTTGGATAATCAATCCAACTTGATGTTTTCTAACCTCGAAGAGAGAAAATGGTTTTGAAAGTAGGACGGTCGGCAGCCGCGGAATGTTTACGAATAGGTAGAAAGCGTGAATTCCAGATATGTGGAGCTTCAGGATATAAAGTCTCAATGTGAGCTCCAATCTCCTCCTCGGTGGGGATGTTAGTGCAGCGGCCCTTACTCGCTCATGATTTTTCCTTCTTTTCTTTGCAGATTATACGAAATAAGCAAAAGTGGACCCATGAAAGTCTTACAAGTATTACCATCGTTCAAAGAGTACATTTTGTAAATACTTTTCCATGACTTTTTGCTCACTCTCTATTGAGCTTTGGTTGCAGAGATAATAAAATAAATAAATAAATTGAGAATCTGTGATTTTGAGCAGGCTTATTGAAAATCAAGAAAAAACGCGCAATCAATTCCGAAACTGTTGGTGGCGTAAGTTTTGTGATCTCCTCATTCTAAGCTTTAGTTTTGACAAAGCAGCGAAAAACGTAAAAATTGGTCTTTCTAGCATTGTTCGCGAATTCCATAACTTTTTATGGCTAACAAAGCTTTTTTCTAACAAAGCCTAGATTAGCACGAACTTTGTTGACTTAACAAAAGGAGCCAGAAAATCTTTGACACCGACTGTTTTAGACTTCATTGCGCATTTTGAGCTTTCATTAGACTTGCCTAAAATTATACTAGCTCGAGTAATTTCCTTTTCCAATTTTAGCACTGCAGTTAGAACTAGTAGAAACTGAGCAAGGGGTCACTAAAAAGCAAATGATTTACTCTTCTTTATGATACTTTAGTTACATGCAAGACTATCGTGAGAGAAAAAAGTTACGATTTTTGGAAATGGTGTGACAGATTTGATCCAACCTTTATTGGCATTTCTTTGAGGTTGTATTTTCGAACATACTAATGATCAAACTGTTTATTTTTGTGAACCCCACTCACCTTTGTTCCGAATTTTTTTGTCTGTTTACCCGCGAAATGCTCTTTGAACAAATAGCCAAATGAAATATTCAACAAAGAAAGAACAGTAAAGTGCATGCGTCTGCTAAGTCTTGAAGTAGACTCTTGACAAACACTGTAATAATGAACTGATCTGCGTCACAATATTGGCAGTTTCAACAATGGCTCACTCAACAAAGAGGCACCATATTTTGTAGAATCAGTAATGAAAAAACAATTGAAATAGAGAGGACTATTTGCATAGATCTGTTTTGAAATTTCCTTTGTCTTAACTGTAATAAAAGGAGTCGCTTCTATCATCAAACATACTGCGATTTTCTGCCAAAATGTTT